CTTAACCCCCCCCCCCCCTTCAAACACAACCAGCGCATACTATATGCATTGGGCCCGCGTCCCCCACCCCAATCCATGCGCCAATGGTCCGCGGCCCTCGCTGCAACGGGTAAAGTCTGGTGTTTCAGATGCCTGAGCACGACGGTAGCGAGGGGCGTGCTCACGAATCGATGGCAGGGCCCAGCATCCTCTTTTTCGCAAAGACGTGCAGCAGGTCAGCCAGGTCGTCAGCCAGAGCTCCCCCAGACCCAGACCCAGACCCAGACCCTCCAGGCCGCCTCGTCTTGCCGCTGTCTTTTCCTTTCCCTTTCCTCAAAGTGCGCGCTATCATGCAAATTTATATCAATCCAAGCCCGGCCGCCATGCCCGTCACCTGCATCTCCGTCATGGCTGCTTGATTCGCAGAGTGCGCCATCAATAGCTCCAATTCCACGCCCACCCCCCGCTATCCCAACCCTGGTGGAAACGGTACATGACGCTGCAGCTGGCCTGGCCGTTTGATACTTATTCTCCTTCTGCCCCCCCTTCGTCGTCCTGCCTGCGGCAACGCTTGTTGTTGAAACCCCCCGTCGCTCCTTTGTTGTCGCTATTCCCCTTCTCCCAGCTGCCCTGTTGGTTTCTTTTCCTTTGGCCAACACTTTTTGCCCCAACGCGCCCGTGCATGCATGCATCTTCCCATTCCCGGACTTAGCCTTGGCCGCAATTAGCAGCGGCTATCGATCTCTACCTTCTCTCGGCTCGCATAGTGGTGATGGGAAGCGAGCCCGTTCGGCTCACCAGGTCCTCCCTGTAAACTGGGTGCATGCGCAATCTTGACTGCACCACCAAACCCCGCCTACCAGAGCATTTAAGAAGGCCATACCGAACGCTCACATGCTCCAGCGAGAGGGCTTCGTCGTCGCCGATATGAGCGCACCGACCCCTTTGCAGCGCTCCAGCTGGAAGGCCGAGGCCATCAGAAGAGGCAATCTCAAAATCAGTGGGCCAATGCCTATAACAGAGGATACGCCCTTGAATGAAGAGGAAGAGAAGGAGTTTGCGGAGAAAGGGGGCCTGGAGAGCTCGCGGCAGACGCAGGATGTGCCCGAAGAGCAAGTCCACCGACCCGAGACCCCGCCTCAGCCATCCCAACCTCCTCCAAGTATTCCAGTCCAGGCCTCAGCTTTGCGGTCCAATCCTGTACAGGCGCAGTCACAGTCCCCGCAACCAGAAGAGTCACTTGCTAGCCCACAGACGAGATCTCCTCCTGGGATGCTGCAAGTGGTCGAAAATGTACAGCGCCAAAGCGAGGCACAATCGATTCCATTGATATCGCCATCACCATATCGAGCAACTCCGGACGGCACCACGATTTCTACGCAGAATACGCAGAAAAAGAAGCGTAAAAGCGGGCTAAGAGGTGTCTTTCGGAAAATGTTTGGTCGAAAGAGCCGGGACGAGAACGAAATCGGCGAGGAGGATGTTGTGCACCGTGGCCACAACTACCACCACAGCGTGAGTAGTCTTGTTGTGAAGTATTGTGCTAGACTGACACCAAACAGGATCCAGGACTGCTGCAACGACAATCACCGCCTAGGGAGCAGAAGACGCCAAATGGACAGCGGATATCGGATCTCCCAGTCAAAGATCTGCAACCTTTGCGTCCTCTTGGCCAGCACCTGCCATTTCCCATGAATGTCAACGCGCCGCAGGCAAGCCCACCACATGATTATTTGACTTTTGATTCGCAAAAACTGCACTTCGGCCGTCGTAGAGCTTCGTTGCCTACAGTGCCATGCGCTAGTACGCATCGTCACAGTTTTGACGAATCTCACGGTCGACTACCCACATGGGAGGAGAGGCTGGAGGACGATGACATGACCTCGCCCGGTATTGGCATCGCCTTGTCAAGCCCCGTTCAACCGACTCCGCTCCCACAAAAGCGCAGATCAAGAAGTGCAGATGCGTTGCGCGATATTGTCAGAGACCATGCCTCGTTTGAGGGGGGACGCAATGCTGAAATCAAGCGCTGGCGGGAAAGCTTTGCATCTGGTAGTGTCTACAGCAGACCGCAAACTGCGAAGACGGTGGAGACGGTGCAGAGTGTTCAGATGCAGGAGCCTGAATTTCACCCGGTGGCTTCAATACAACAGCCGGATTTCCAACGCATGGTGCAGACGCAAGAGCCTACTACTGTTCAACGGATGGTGCAGACGCAAGAACCTACCATTCAGGAGCAAAATCCGGAGGCAGCCGTTGAGATGAGTGCAACTCTCTCACATGCTGACGACCCTGAAACACCGGTGGACGAGAGGCGAGAACTGGTATCCGAGAGGGAGGTCCAAGCCCCAGTCTCAGCATTTAACTTTGGCAATCTGCAGCACGAGCAGCACATCATCACCGAGTCTCTCCCTGAAGTACCACCGGAAGCACCGACGCCACCCCTTCGTAGCCAAAACCGCGTTCCCATCGAAGACCGCATCCAGCATCTCGAAAGCGCGTACGAAAACCTCGAAGGTTCCATCCGCCGCATATCAACTCGCAACAACCGCCAGACCATCATTCTTGAGAACGCGCCCAAAAACCTCCGCACACGAGACCGTAGCGCCTCGACACGGTCCATCTCCGCATCTCGCTCCCACTCGCGCTCCCAACCCAGCATCCACCAAGAGCCCATTCACCAACCAAGCATCGATACTCTGAACCCTGGCCCCCCTTCACCTACCCTCGTCCTACCCCCAAGCACACTCCCTCTTCCCGACCAAGCCGGCAAAGACGTCCTTCACACCGTGTACGAAGCACTGCGACACGAGCGTGCAGCACGCAAAGCGCTCGAGGCCCAAATCCGCACTCTGCAACACGATGTTTCGGATCTCCACGCCCTGGTCAACAAACTGATTGTTTCGGCCACGGCCACGAGTCCAAACTACCCCACGCCATCACCCGATACGCTGGTCATCTACAGCACGGAGGACCGGCTCTCGACGCCCCGCGCAGAACGTAAACTCGACTATGCACAGCAGCAACAGCAGCGGCAGGATGAGGAGCGGCAGCGGCAGCGCACGCCGAGTGTATACAGCACGAGTGAGAACGCGAGTGTGAGTACGTATGATGGTAATAGTAGTACAAGAGGGTACGACGACGTTGCTACGCCGGATGTTTGGGCAACGCCCAAGGAGGAGAGGTTCGCGGGCAGTGGGTATTTCACGGGCGATGGGAGGGTAAGGGGGTATGCTTGAATGGCTAACCCCATTCCCCTCCGCCGCCAGGTCGGTTATGGAGTAATGTGTGTTGAAAACCCTACCCTCTTGATGGGGGTTAACAGACCACGGCCGATTTCAGTATGCATGGATACATACACGAACACCCCCACCCCCTCCTCCTCTTCCCTCATACAAAAGATTCAGCAGGACTTGAGAGCTATAGGGCTGGTTTGGAAAACAACAACACGAGGGGCGAAAAGATTTTGTACGATACCCAGCGATGGCGTTCCTTGGGCGCATTCTTTACTTTTTCTTTTCTTTCTCTTTGCTTTTCCATTGTATCTTTTTTTTTCAGGCATCATGTGGCATCATCCAGCGTGTTTAGCGTTTGTGGGAAGGGAGATTTTCACGTGTTATTGTTACACGGCGACGGCGACGGCGGTGAAAGCAGAAACAGCATCAGTCTTGACAGGGAGGTTTCTTCTCTAGTGTGTGTGTGTGTGTGTGTATTTTTTTCTTATTAATCTAATGTCAAGTTGGCGGCTTAAATTGAATGATTGACGGGTTTTGTCTGATGTTCTGGACTTTTGGGTCTTGTGTGTGCGTTATCCTTGGGATGAGGCAGGTTCGTTTGTAGTGATGGGGATGGGGAGGATGGTAGGGGTTGCGTGTTTGATATTGGAAACAAGGCGCAAGGTAAGAGGGTAGTAGGACCACCTGTCTCACACTACTTTCATCCTTTCTGTTGTTCATGGCTCAGATGCGGATCGGATTGTGGCATTGACGTCGAAAGAGGCTGAGGGAAGAGTAAGTGCGAGGGCCGATGGGTTTGTCCATTGCCAATTGCTCGTCTTTTTGCTTGTTTATACATTATTTGCTGCGTTTGTTGTTTGGGTTTTCTTCTTCTTCTTCTTCTTCTTCTTCCCCCGGCATTGTTTGGACTTGACAGGCAACTTTGCTATTTATATCATCTATTCCAGTACACAGCTGGAATATTGAGCAGTATCAGTGTGCAGTGGCTTGTCCTATCCGATATCTCAGAGCAGTCACTACAATCCGCGTCGACGACGACGAAGACACAACCAACTTTACCCTGTCTATAAATCGACGATTCGCAAATCTTCAAAATACGTTGACAACGCTCTCCAGGCACCGCAGCGCGAAGCAAAAGAGAGTGATCGGATTGCCGGATCTCTCCGCCAGAGTTTTCCGAGTCTACCATCATTGTCTGCTCACTGGCAGATTGAATTGCAGCCTTGGGCCATCTGCAAAGCAACATGGCAAAGAGTTGACACTTCTAATCGAGGCCGCGCTTCTGGGCGACTATTTGGAGGACACTGCCTTTGGTGATGTCCATCACCGATGCAACGATCCGTTGCGTTGGTATTCTGCGGCCATGGTACCCGTATTTTTCTGTCGTCTTTGGCATGCTCTTGTACGGGATGCTTCCTGATCACGTTCCACTGGAAGCGACTTGTACCCCGATTCCTCGCTTGGACCACTTCGCCATCCGATATTGAGAATCTGGCCGAGTTGTACTGGGCCAGGCATACAGATTTTTCGTCGATGTGCTTGATGCTGTGAGGGGGTGGAATCATGGATACTCGGAATCACCCTTTGTCGAGTGGGATAGGGATTGCGACTACCATTCCCATGGTAAGGGTACGCCTTGCTACAAGACCAGGTCTGACCAATTATTTCGGCACGGTGGGTTAGGAGGGATCATGATAATATGAGTGTGTGGGACCATGCGGTGGAAGAAGACTAAGGATCTTGAAGGTTTGAGTTTAGAGGACTCGATGATACAGACGAACAAGAAGACGGAGATAATCCAAGTTTGGATAGCTCGAGTTCGTACTGAATGAGCGACACATCACGACAGACTCACACGGCAGGTAAAACCGCATAGCTCGTCACACAGAGCGTCTGCATGGTGATCATGGTATCACGATTCACGGTGGAGAAGCGATCTTACGCTATCGACCATCACTTGAAGGAGATTGTACCAAGGTCACATCCTTCAATAATGTGACGAGCAAGACATGTACATTTCGGCCTGTGCAGGTGAAAGACATGGGGTGAGGCGTTGCATCAGGAGCTGCTCCTTCCTCGGGTTGATGAAGGGCACGTCATCTGTTTAGGCTCCATTCTCCTTCACCGCAACAACAAACAATCGCTTCGAGACTCGATTCGTCGAGCTAATGTAGAGCTCCGTCCAGCTCCAGTAAGTTGTATATAAGTAAACGCTACACGCACACAAAACATACCACGCTGGCCTCACTCCAAGCTCACAACAACCTTGAACTCACTCTTCAGGCGTGGGAAATCACAATCGAGAGCATTACTCTTACCTGCCCTGTCGGTTATATCGCGAACAAGGGAGCTCAAACACGATGCCCGCCTATTCAGAATCGAGGATGCTCGAGTAAGGCAGTCACTGTGCTTGCAAGCTGCGACTACAACTGACAAAACCAGCCTAGGGGCTGAAGTCATCACTGTCCAAGTAGAACGAGAACCCGATTACACCAAATTCACAATCCACGAGACTCTGATCCGCAAATCATCGCTCTTTTTTGAAGCTGCCCTTGGTCGCAAATGGCGCGAAGCTGAAGACCGGATTGTAAAGCTACCCACATTGGAAGCTGGAGATTTCCGCGTCTACATCCAGTGGCTGTACACTGGCCGTTTGCACGTCGTGCCCGCTACTGAAGTCGATAGTCTTCTAGACATTGCAACACTCGCGCAGGCCCACCTTCTCGGAGACTACCTACAGGACACGAACTACCAGGACCACGCCATGGACCTCATGATTGAATGGTACCGCAAATCCAGTACCAAGACAGTTCAAGCATTCGCCGACGCGAGGGCAGCCGGCTTATACGAACGCACGGCCGAGCATGGCGGACTTCGCCGCTTCCTCGTCGATGTGATTGTCTGGAGAGTGGGGGACTATTGGCCGGATCCAAATGCTTCGACGCTGTGCGATGGACTGCTACAAGACGTTTTGAATGCGATTCCACATTATCGCGAGGGTTATTTCGAGACGGAGCCTCTTTGGAAGGAGGATACGTGCGTCTACCACTGCCATGAAGACAACGCGTGTTACAAAGCGGCGGATCCAGAGTGAGTTTGTTGAGTGCTCATGACTCGAGCAGTGCTGACTTTGTCAGAATGATTCTTTGGACTTGGTTGCCTGCTAATTAGGCCCAGAATCATTCCAGGCTCGACCTCGATCTTGACTTTTCTAGTTCCCCCTCCGGCTGAGCCATCATGCGTTCTGATAGGGGGCTGGTTTGAAGTTTGATTAGATGAATTGTGGGGACTATATCACAAGTACAGAAAGATACAGAAGCAGTGTTTCTTGAACAAACGTGGTCATGCGGACGCTCGACATTGATGAACTGCAGCACAAAGCTTGATATAATGATGTATCAAAAAATAAGAATGAAATCTCCGATGTATTGGATCAACAAGATCTCCCACCATTCTCGTTGAATAATCATGTTGGCGAAGTCTTTCACGGATTATCTGGGGTTTGTCAAGGGCGAGGAAAACGTCATGAAGCTTTAAATCACTGTTATCATCACTCCCACTCGGCAAACATTCAGATGGAATGGCCTGTATACCTTGTTAACTTCAAAGGTATACAGTATACTGGGTATTTCTAACTCGGCTGAACATCACGACTGCACTAGTGGGACGGGTAAACGGCCCCTTGCCGTCCTGGTACGGTACTGTCAGATGGTACCTGGTACTGCTGAGCTAGCTCACACCTGGCGTAACAATCTTCACTAACCTTTGAGTTTGATCCAAGACGACGACTTCGATATTTAGGGTTGCTTGTCTGGTGTTTTTCACGGCGGCTGTTGCCGAGGAGGACGTTGCAGAGATTGCCCCTGAGATCATCACAGTGTTAGATGGATACAATTACACTATGAAAATCCCATGCCTTGGATGTCCCTTTCTCTACCCAGACCCTTTAAAAGGTCAGAACGAGCCGTGGCTGGAAAGAGAAGAAGAAAATGCTTTGGTAAACTCCCTGTTCCATACCTTGACCTTTTAACGCTGTTTCCCTCTACTCTATATAACTAGTCTATAGCTCCTAAACATCACACTTCCCTTCTCTACAACGTAATTTACTATTAACAACATCCCCCACTCTCCCCTCCTCCCCCATCCACCCCCCAAATCCACGCCTCCTTCTCAACCCTCCCATCCCTCCTCAACACCAACTCCCTCAACCACCCCACCAGCACCTCCTTCACTCTCTCCTTCACTCTCTCCTACACTCTCTCCTACACTCTCTCCTACACTCTCTCCTACACCCACGCCCTCCACCCCATCCCAACCTTCCCCCATGCCCTACTCTTCCACCTCATCATCACAGAGCTCCACAGCGACACCCCCCCAACCCATGCTCCTACACGCCCCGCCTCAAAACATGCTGGAAATTGTTTTTCTACAGCGTCCGGTCCTTTCTGCAGCAGACACGCACTGTTCTTACAGCATCGTGCGCGTCTCGCTGGTTCCGCGCGCAGCGTTGCGGCGTGGGATGATGGGGGTTTGGGTGCGCGGGGGGGATGTGTGTGGTTGAGAGGGTGGTGCGGTGACGCGGTGTTTTCGCCGGGTGGAGGCTGTGGTTTCTGTGTATGTGGGGAGGGGTGGGTGGTTGAGAGGGGTTGGGAAGAGTTATTAGAAGGGGTTGTAGAGTTCTTTTTTCGGGGGGGAGGGAAGGGAAGGGGGTTGTTTGGTTGGGGATGTTGGGGAGTCGGGTTGTGTGGGATTGATTAGGGAGGGTTGGCACAACTCAAGTGATGTTGAATTTGCTATTGTATACGAAATCATGATAGACGCTGTTTGGTTTCATACATGTCGTTTCAGTAATATATCCCTATGCCAACCACCAACCGTGTGTATATATATCCCAAAACTAACATCGCCAAGCTCCTTTATTAGCAATCCTCGAAACTTCAGACTAGATATATTACAAACACCCTACTCCCCATCATGCTTGCAGTCCGCCTGCTTAGTTTCCTGCATGAGCAGCTTCATCAGTTCATTGTCGTCGTCACCTCCACCCAGGAAACTACACCCCATCTCACTAAACACGGTACTAGGTGCATCCAGAGCATCGTCTTTACCCTTCTTCTCACCGTACATGATGGTGTGTTCCATCTCCATCTTTTTAGCCAACGCTTCGCGTATCATTGTGCATCCGCGCAGCGCATCGGCGTTGCCTCCGTTCTCCAGACGAAGATGGTGCTCGATATCGTCGAGTTTTTTGAGAATGCGGTCGTGGTGGGAGGCAGATGGTGAGATACCTTGCAGATTGGGGTCGAGGTGGACGGGAGCTGTCTTGGTGGCCATGGCTCCAATCTGTATAATGTGTCTGCTCTTTGCGAGGTCCTCAGGACGCATCAGACGTTTGAAGACGGGAGCCCCGTCTTTTTTGTGACGAGCCGAGGAACTCGTGGCTCCCTGTGCGTGGTGTGATGACCGACTAAAGCTGCGCGAACTGGCGGTGTATCCAGAATCATCAACCTCCATCACGTCATCCAAGGGGGTTCCAATTGGAGTTGAGAACATTCCTCCGATCAGTGGGCTTCCGTGCCGTCCATGTGGTGTTGTCGGCTGTTTCAAAGGGCGACCTCGTGGGCCGAGCCCCTGACTAGCACTGCGACCATGTTGTGCATACGGGCTGCACCTTTTCTTCTCTTCCGGTGTGGTTGATCGAGAACGCGGAGCTTGGAGGCGGACAAATGTCGGATTCGGTATCGTGTTTGCAGCAGCAATGCGATCTGCATCGCCCTGGCTCAGTGACCGACGACGCACGTAGGGTTGTGCTGGCGGAGGGCATGTGGTGGTTGTATTTGAGCGCAGGTGAGGGGGGCGACTGTTGTGAAGCGATAGGTGCGTATTTGCAGGGCTGTCGGAGGACTGCTTGACGTCAAGCGGATATGGGTGTGGTGAATTTGGCTCAGGCGTAGGATAGCTCAGGCCTGAATTGCCGAAGCTGTATGTCGACCAGTCTGGCGTTGAAATCGATGAAGGTGTCGACGAGTTGATCTGAGCGAGCGACGCATCATCGAAAGAGAAGTCCAGGTCATTGAACACTTCGCTGTTGTTCGATGAAATGGGGTTTGGCTCTGATCTATTTGAACTGAACAGTTCTTCTAGTTCCGCTCGACTTGGAAGTTGCTGCTGATGTTCGTGGTTGAATGATAGAAAGAAAGGATCAAGAGAAGCATCGTTGCATTGTGTGCTCGGCTGAGACATATCCGCTCGTGACCAGAAGACGTCTATCGAGAATGAGGAAGAGGCGCGTGATGGTTCGATAGCCGGCGGGATCGGGAAGGATGGTTACACAGTGAAGGGAGGATGCGTGATCATCGTCCAGATATAGCTGGGGATTTGCTTTTGAAAGTGGTCGGGGCTGAAACAGATCGACATGGAGGTTTTGGTGGGCGCTGAATGGTGTGGTTGCAAAAGGGTAAAGAGACGGGTACCTGCGCAGTCGATGTGTATGGCAAGCAAACTGCAACTGTAAGAGGACCCGTGAACTGTGCGGCTGCTTGATATACGGCCAATCAAGAGATAGAAACCGCACTTACTGCACAAACAGTGTGGAAAGACAATGACTCTATTGTCAAAACAGTTGTGTGTACGTGCCCTGTGAAAGCCCATGCACATGTCTGTTACATATGTGCATATATCCATAGCTGCCAGTATATTGGGAAAGACATTCTGATGGCAGCGCCCTAACGCCGTTGAGACAGTGAGAATCGCCAGGGGATTCACCCAGCAAAAAGACATTGCGTAGATCTCGTTCTCCCTATCTTTCACCAGCCAAAAATATTATCAGTCATATATCATCGCTTCAAAAAAGCACTTCCTCATATCGTACATCTGAGTCATCCCAAGTTTTCGCCCTACTCTTTCTTCGGCCCCTCCCCCTCGCCGTCTCCACCCTTTTTCTTATCCCAATTCCACACTTCCCATATCTGCTCCAAGATCATGTCTGTGTAGCTTTTGCCCTCCTCCAACGCCTTCTTCTCCTCCATCAGCCTCCGCTCCTTCCAACCCTCCGTCTCATTCCCCATCCACAGCTTTTGCAAAATGCCAGTTACGCCCTTGCCTTCTTCCTCTACTTCCGTCCTCTCACCCGCCTTTCTACTCTTCTCCCGTTCCTCCCTCAATATCCTCTGCATCTCTTTCGCCCTTTCCGTTGGCATGGAATCTACCGCCTTTATCGGGTTTAGATTCGAGATCAACCCCCGACCTGTCCGTAGTGTGCACAAGTGATCGGCGGACAGGTAGAAGCCGACTCCCAAGGAAAACGTGTAGAGGTCTAATTTACGAGGCGGCATGATCGCGATTATAGGACACAGGACTAGGCCGCCAATGGCGAGGTTGCGCGTTATGCGTGCATATTGGGCTTGTTGTTCGGCGGCAAGACGTTGCTCGGGGGTGAGGGGTGCCTGGGGTGTCGCCATGATAGGTGTGGACATGCGGTGTTGTAAATTCTATTCAGGTGGTTTTTGGGTGTTTGCGCGACAGTAAATGGTTCTGTGATGGATATGATGGATGTTTGGAATGGGCAATTGTGTCGCCATGTCAAAAGTTCGATGATGCGAAGATCAGAGCTCGGCTAAACCTTCCATGTGGATGCGGAGAAAGCGCGGAGGAGAGCTCTCAATCAGATGTCAACCACATATGGAGTTGGGTTTAAGGAGCTTTAGGGATATTTGTAGCTTTGGCGGACGGTCGGGTAGCTTCAGTCATTCACAGCATATTCGCAAAAAGTCTGGATCGGAATAATTCGCTGTATATGCCTGCATCTACCACACTCATTGCAGCTTGCCTTTGTCTCATTCATCCAACGCCTCTGCGTAAACCAAGGCTAAATACATCTGAATGACAGAATATTAGACTTTCCTTCTTTTGAAGCTCGATCGATCTTGATGCTGTTCATTCGTCCCCGCTGCTGCATGGCCATTATCTTTGCGCTTCCCTGTCTGCTCGAATGCCCCAGTGCTCTTCAGACGCTTTGTTGGCGTTCTTTCATACTCGCTGCCACTGTACCCTCCCCTTGATCCTGCCTCATCGTCTGTCTCTGTAGCGCTTTCAGACCGCGGTTCGTCGAACGCGTTGTACTTTCGTTTCTGTGCCGTCCTTGGTGTCTCCATGAGGCGCCGCAGACGACTTTCGCGCAATCTCCGATTGACTTCCTCTGTGACATCGATGTGTTGGACGACATACTCATCCGCATTTTGCGTGGGTTTGCCCTTTGGTGTGGGACTTTGATCGACAGGGGGAGAGATGGCTGATTTTCGGGTGGTGGAGGGTTGCGAGATTGGGCTAGATCGTGCCGCTTTTGAGCCTTCTATACTGAGTCGTTTTTGCGAGGTTTTTGCCTAGTATCGTGAGTTGTCGCGTTGGCGGATGGTATAGCACGCTACCCGTACCTTTTTCTCGGCCAGACCCTGCCTGTCCAACTCGTCTCGAAAGCGCTTCATGTCGTCATGTAGCCTTCCCGACTTGTTCCGTAGCGATAAGAGATCTGTGGCCAGCCAGTCGGGGGCATTGTGATCTGTGCCTTCAAGAGACTCATTCAGGAACTGTAGCTGCGCGCGTAGGCTCTCAATGTGCCTGTCAAAGTCCTGTATATTGTATGAGAGATTGTATAAGACTAGATGGTATTGTTTCATTACCTCGAGCGACAATCTGGTCATGTTGCCCAGAGGAGCGTTGGTTGGTAGAAAGCGAAATCGTCGTGTTGGGTCCAAATGTCCAAACTGCAACATTGCAGCAAAAGACGAACTCCGTGAAGACAAGGTGACCAGGATGCGCACGCGCTCGTTCGGAACCTTTCCGAATATCGGAAAGTGCCGACCGTATCACGACGTTTCATGTTACACGAGGCAGCGTTGTAAACCTGAAAGCAAGAGACATGCCAATTGTGTGATTCATCCATGCTTGCAAAGTTTACGATCGCGAACAAGCAGAGTATTCTTCAATGCAATACTGCTGTATTCAAAACGATATACAATGACTGTGCGGACGATTTGGCGTCGTGGTTACCGGTACATATTTACCTACCCCTAGATCTTCATGACATAGGTACCGTACGGTAGGTATATCCTTAGAGCTCTCCGACTTTTCTAGGCACCACAATGAATACCGGCCTGGAGAAACTGTCAAAGATACGACGGCATTTAGCTCCCGCATAGTAAAAGGGGTGTAATTGGACCAGGACTGCATAGCCTCTGACCGCATCTCAGATTGATGTGTACCAGACTGTGTCTTCACTGAGGGTGAAGCTGGCAATGGGTTTCAGCCTTCGTCTTCATCGCCAAACGTGAGCTTGACAGCTTTCGCTTTCTTCTTCGGCTTCTTGGCGACTTTGCCATTCATCTGTGAGCTATCTTGATGCTGCGTGGTGTCTGCATCTTGCTCATCGCCAATGATCTTGGCCGCCTTGCGCTTCTTCACACTGCCTCCCACTTGGACAATCTTGTCTTTCGACTTGGCTGGGCCTTCTGCAGAGTCTGGACTTTCCGTCTTAGCAGTGGCATCTTGGTCCTCTTTCGATTCTTTGCCTGATAGGAGCGCCTCGTACTCCTCTTTTGTCAGAGATTGATTTGTATCTTCGAGGACATAGGTGGGCGCATCATCTTCATCATTCTCTTTGGCCTTTTTGTTTCTGGCGATTGGCTGCTCATGGCGGGCAGAGTCTCCGCTTTGCAGCTGACCCCTCAGACGCTGCAGGAAAGCAGGCTGCGAACTGTCTATCCATCATCAGACTCTCTTACTCTCCCATCCAATCACCAAGCAATAGGTACTCCCCTTGACTCACCGAACTGCAGGTCTTTGGCTTTGAAACTCATCTTGCAGCTTGAGGGCCAAGTGTGAAAAGTGCAAGGACACCGGTGTCGACTCCTTATCCGTTTCAACGTGAATACTATGTATATAAGTCTGTCAGGCGTCAGACTGCAGGCCAGAGGAGTACCGATGTAAGTAAGCAGTCTAGACTAGCGGGAGATTGTCGATGCGGTTCCACGGGTACAAACGAAGCGGCTCCTTTGAGGCGTCCACCAGGGCTTGGCGTAACATTTTCCGAGGCGCACAGCAGCACGACGCACGTCACCTGTCACTCGCAAGGCTCGGTCTCTATAGTAACGTGTCGCAATACAATATCTCATCAATATCCCACCATATATATCAACTTATCGGGGTGGGGTAACAGTGTTCACTTTTGCCCCATTCTCGGTTTGCGACATAACGTGATCCACCACCGAGCGCCCACCCCCACCGAGCGCCCACCAACACTAAAATCACCAAATTTTTAACACTAAATTTCTTAACAACTATAGCACCTATTAATAACGCGCTTATAGCAATTAAATCCTTAACTCTTAGAGAAGATTTTACATACTTAGAAATAGTAGAAAAGTATAGTTACTTGCAGTTAACCTTATCTAGACGCTACTAGAAAATTTAGTAGGCGCGTACTACTACTCTACTAAATAGTTAAATACTTAATACTATATAAAAAAGTAAGCTTATAGAGTATATTAAAGAGCTTTATAAGTAAGGATTACCCCCTATATAAACTATTATTTAAAATTTTATAACTAAAATAATAGGGAATCTAGTAGGTAAAAATTAGGTATAGCGCTTGATTAACTACTATAATATTAATCTTATCTCCTATTAGGCTACTAGGCTTAATTATAACTACTTTAAAGCTAATTCTACCTTTAAGTATAGCTTATACTTTAAGCTTTTATACTAAAAAATAGAGTAATATAATATTAAGAGTTAGTATATCTATAATATAGATAAGAAGGGTTTTCTTATTAAAGTACTATTAAAAACTAAACGTGTGTTTAATAAGAGCGCCTATAAGCAGAGAAAGATTAGAGCTATGCTCTAGGATAGTTGTTGCAGGAGGGATATTAACCAGATCACGGAGCATCTTGATCTAATCAACCCTGATTAATACCCCTGTATGACCCACTATCTAATTAACTACTAGCTTACTACTAAGTGCCTAATAAAAAACAGGAGCTCTAGTAAGGAAGGTTTACTAATTATTTACCTTCTAGTAAGGGTAGCTAAAGCTCTATATATATAAGTATAATTATAGTAGATATAATCTAATAATCTATCTCCTAAATTATTCCTAACCTTAGTAATCTAAATTTCTATAGTTATAAGCCTAGTTTGCGCTTTACCTTATTAAAGATTATCCTATCTATTTAAGCGTATTATTTAACTTAGATACTAAGCTAGTAAGCTTTACTCTTTCTTTATACTATTTCTTAAGTAGAAGCTTACTTATTACTCTTCTACTATAAGTAACTAAATCCTAAAGGGGGATATCCTACTTACTAGATTAACTAACTAGCCTACCTAGTATATTTAATTTAGATACTATACCCTAACTAAAGGGATCTAGGTAGAGGTAGACCCTAAGGCTTAGGATGCTAAAAACTACTTTAAGAATAGACCTATTAATCCTAATATGCTAATAGATATTATACTATCTAATATAATAAGCAAGTAGTATAAACTTAAAATAGCTTAGTACTAAGCCTGCTTATTAGATTAGGTATTAAAGTTATTAGTAATCTAGAACCTTTTTATATAGGTTAATAATATAGTAGATTAAGGGATCCTTACCCTAGCCTATATAGAGCTTGTTAATTAAGGAAGAGTAACCCTCTAAGCACTTATCTAAGTGCTCTGCAACAACCTAGCGCTAACTAATTTAAGTGCTGTAATACTAGCAAGATTATAGTATAAAGCTTATCTTGCTAAGGTAAAGATAAGTAGCTAAGACGCTAATTACTAGTAGAAGGAGTAGACAATCCTATATACGCAAGCTAAGGTATACAACGTTCCTAATATTAAAGAATAGCTTGTAGTATAGGATTATCTTAAAGCTCTATCTACTAGGATCTTACTAGATTAGGGCTAAACTATAGTTTAAAGGATTATTAAAAAGTTAGTAATAGGAGAGCTAACTTATAACCTCCTGTAGGTTACTAAGATCTATTTATTACTTCTCTAAGAGAATAACATAAGATTAAGCTCTAAAGGTCCTAGAGTGTTTGCAATAATAGGAGCTCCTCCTTCTAATTAACCTAAGAAGGAGTCTTTATACCTATATAGTAGATCCTACCTATAGAAACCTCCTAAATATAAAAATATTATTAAAGCTTAGACTAATATAGGTAATAAGCTTACTACTACTTAATAATTAGAGATTAAGAAAAAGATTAATAGGAATTAAAAATTTAAAGAGTTAAGAAAAGCTCTAATTAAGTCCTATCCTATTAATTAAGATTATAGTAGTAAGACAAGCGCAATTACCTATCTAGGCAGTATCTAGGTGGCACTAATTAACCCTATATTAATAGCAGAGAAAACAAATAGGATCTATTTAACTATAGACTTTAAAGCTTACGCTCTATTAAAGAGCACTATCTTTAATAATAGGGGTGCAGTACACCTAGTTAATAATATAAGCTACCTAGAAGAAAGCTTGTTTAGATTAGTTAAATATAAGATAGTTAAAGTAGGAACTTAAGCTTTTCTAATCTTAGGTAGAGGGACTAGAGTAATCCCTAATACTCTTAATAGACTAAGAGGTCTAAAAATAGAAGATTTAGTGCTTACTAATATAGTGTTAGTAGAAGGTTTTTATATAAATATTATATTAGAAGCTTAATTACTTAAAGCAGGAGTTTAGTTCCTTAGGCTAGATACTACCTTATAGTTTAGATTATTAGGAAAGAGTATTATATTAGCTAAGTTACTGCGTAAGTTTAACTTAACTTTCCTAGAATATAAGCCCTCTACCCCTTATTAAATAATCTAAAGCATAGTGCCTAAACAACCCTAATAATCCTAGATAACTTACCTAAGACACGATAGTAAGGAGCTTTAGCACTAATAATTAGGCTATTTAGGACCTAAGGCGCTTAAAGCTCTAGTTAAGTTAGTAATAAACGTTAGGATTAAAGGAACTCCTAGGAGCAAATACAAGCACTATACTATTATATATGCCTAATAGGTTATATTAAGATAACTAAGGGAAAGATTACTATATCTATACTACTAGGTATTATAGGATCTATTTAACATGCTAATAGGTATAGCTTATAAGTAATAGATCTTAGTATTAAAGTGCAACTACTTAGGAAAGCTTTATACCTATCTACTACAAGCTAAAAACCTTAATAAGATTATGTGGGTGTTTAAAAATTTTAAGAGCTTAATACTTAACTAATATAAGCTTAGCATAGTTAAGATTATGCAAGATAATAATATTATAACGCTCCCTTAGTAGGGCAAATCTTGCTTTTAGATCTAGGCAGCTAATAATAGTATTAAAATTAAGGGCTTACCTGTATATACCTATAAACCTAATAGAGGAGTAGAAAGAGTAGGGCAGGAGATTATAACAAAATTAATTAAAATAAGGATTAGTGCTAACCTACTAACAAAGCTCTAGCCTAAAATTATTAAAGTAGTAACTTAGCTCTATAATATAAGCCTATCCTATACTTATAATATAATATCACCTAATAAAGTGCTAGATTGTTGGTTTACTAGATACTTTAGGTGGTAGCAACTAGAGCAGATAAGGGAGGCAACTGCTAATCTCTGCCCTAATTAGAGCGGAATATACGCCTATGGCTGTTAAGCTTACCCCCTTAACAGAGATTAAGTAGCTAGGCGTTACAAGAGGGTTTTTAAGGTAAACCCTTAGGGTTATATTAGATATCTAGTAGGATATAGAGCATCTAATATATATAGGATATAGATCCCCTTGCTTAATTAGATTATTATAACGTGGAACGTTACCTTTAATAAGGATCTTTTCTATAAAGAGAAAGATCTAGAGTAGCTTTAATAGTTAGAGGCTTAAAAGATAGTTAACATTATTAGCAAAGATAAGATCTATAATATAGGAGAAGCATATAAAGAGCTTAATATCTTTAATTAGCTTTGTATTATAGTAGACACTACAGTAAAAAATTGTTTACTATAGAATAGTACGCTAGGGGTTTACTATATAGGTGTAAACTAACCTTGTGTATACCTATAAATAGGTTTAAAGTGGTGGTTTACTTTTTTATAGTATAAACATAGTGTGGTTTACTATAGACCTATTAGTAGAGTAAATAAAGTGGTTTATAATAGTCCTATTAGTAGAGTATATAAAGTGGTTTACAAAAGACAAAATATAAGTGTTAGGTATAGTAATAATAGTATTAGATTTATTTTAGTATCCTTATATAAACTACTAGTACGTCGTTGCCTATCCTGTCCCTAGGCCTAACCTGCCTAATTAACAGCCTATACCCGCCTAATTAATAGGCGTAAAACTACCTAATTATTAGCCTATACCTGCGTAATAATTAGCCTATACCTACGTAATTGTAAGGCTATCTACTATATACCTTACTTATTTTTAGAAAACTATAGTATAATATAAATTAAATAGGTATATAAGTAGTATAACTGCGTAGTAATTAGTATAAGTTAGTATATCTAATAATAGTCTAGTATAATACATAGATAATATACTTACCTAATAAATACTAGTATATTATATAGTAATAGTGTTAGTATAAAGAGCCTAGTACTATAAAGCTAGATATAGACCTATTATCTTACTTAACTATAGGTAGTTAGTCTTAGACTATCCGCGTTTATTAATAATATATAGCTTATTACTAGGTTAAAGTTAAGCGCTACGTCTATAGTAAACTATAGCTACTCCTACAAGGTTAACAATTGTTATTATTTAAATCTATTTAATGCTATTATTATCTTCTATTGTCCTCTAAGGTTAGGCTAGTTAGCCTATAGT